ACAGCACTTCACTTCGCTATACACCACTTCATTTCATGTTATTTCGCCATAAACCGTTTCATTTCGCAATACACCACGGCATTTCGCTATACACCGGTACCAATATTAAATACCAGATGGTTTAAGTCACTGAAGTACTTGAGTGGAAGCAGACACCCAACAAACCAACATCTATAATAAAGATCTAATTATCTCAATAATACTTCAATTTTTGTCATAAACACATAAATACCCCCTCTCAGCTTGTCATCCCAGAAAAAGAAAACGGTGTATTTAAAGCAGAGAAAATTGGTGGACATTAGTGTTGAAATTTACATAGTCTTTCTTTTTTCAACTTGTCTAAAATAAAATGACTCGTGGATTGACGTTATTTAAACATGGTTCATTTCTCTGATGTTTAGAACAAATACTATTAACATACACACGTCGGAACAAGCAAAAGACTATAATAACAACAAGATATGCAGATATAAATAATTGATTCACCAGATCAAATATTCTCTTTAAATTGTTGTTTTTCAGCCATTAATCAACCAATATAGCGCTGTGAAAAAGATCAAATCCTACAACAACTGATCAAGTTATGAACAGTTTGGTGTATTGATTATTAGAATAGCCAAGTAATAGAATCTCAACTCAATTCCTTCAACAGGATATCGTTATCCGCCACTTAAAGCTTCCCATTTGCTACAGCAGAAGGCGCAAATTTAGAAAGTCATACACAATGGGTGATCGATTATTACTAGATGAATCTCAGTAGTTTTTTTATTGATATATAGCACAACAACTATTGTTTGGTGTTGAGAATTCCCGGGGAACCTATCGCTAGAAACTATGAGCATATACAGAATTATGTGATAATTTGAATATTAATTCAAGATATTCGATAATAATGTTCACACTTGTCAGAATATGTCTAAAACTTTATAAACACACTACAGTGAATACGGGTTAGTGTTAAGATAATTAAACATACATTATGCAAGAGGTAAATCTGCCTATTGAAGGTCTTTATTCTTTAGGCCTGAAATGTTATATAAACTTTTAATTAGACATTAATTAACTTATCCAGACCATAATCAACTCTCGGTGTGATCGCTAGCCTGCGATGTTTATTGGATTAGGTTCCGATTTGCTGTTCGACTTCCATTCATGATTTAGTCGTGAAATGGATAATCGAGACTATGTTTTTCATCGTGCCGACTTTAGTAATGATGATCGAGGCTAGGCCGAAAATTCAATCGCTAAAATCTCGGTTCAGAGTGGATCAATTTGACTGAAATTTTCAACAATTGCCTTTAGATTATCTAATTTTCAACTATGATAGTGAGAACTGCCAGCTCTTTATCTAATCTCTCATAATGTATCTTTAAGTGGTCAGATTCTGAAGTCTTCAAAATTTTGTATCTGGCTTTAGTTTTTGGTTATAGTGTATCTTTGTCTTTTAGAAAACATAAATTCGTCTACCACAGTACTGCTTATAAACACACTACAGCTAATACTAATTGTCAGTGTTAAAGATAATTTGGTGGCTAGATTCTGAAGTCTTCAAAATTTAGTATCTGGGTTAATACTTTAGTTCTGGTTTTAGGTTTTTTGGTAGTGAATCTTTTTATGAAAATATAAATCCTTCATACCAACAGCGAGTACGAGTTAGTTGTTGGAAAGTATCTGGGTTAATATTTTAAATTAGGTTTTAATTATTTGGTAGCGTAACTTTTTATGAAAATTTAAATCATTTCCTTCTCAGTTGACTATTTTGTAACTGGTTACAAACATTCTTTTCCGCGACAGGAGATCTCTTGGTTGGCTAGATGTGAGGTCAGATCGGGTCAGCTAAAATCGGCCTTTCCGGGTGTGACAGATGTGAACATTCAGAATGCGGAATTCGTTTGGATATAAACCGTGTATATCCCAGGCAACATGCTGGTACAACAGAACATGAATCTATTAATTATGATCAATTTGAATGCACCCCTCCCCCACCACTCTATGGAACCGAGGGTGTGAAAGAGATGGATCCAGGAAAAACAAGGCGTACGAGTGCATTGTCAACATACTAGTTTTTATTGATGTGCCGAATTAAGTCGTCGTCTGATTGGTCCATGCGCAAATACGCCCATGGGCCAAGCAGGCGATGGCACAGTCAGGCGTTCTTAGTCCAAAGTGTTGTCATAGTTATATTCAATGATATCGTTTAGTGTAACTTTACCTTTACCTGCAATTTCCCAAATAGACAAGAACGGCAACATTTAAGACTTTTCGATTTCATACAAACTAAGCATGGCGTTATTCTTATAAACGATAATGATTACTTTATTCTCACAATCATTAATGATTTTATAATGTCAAAAACATACCACTTTACAAAGAAGAATTAAAAATGTGTTAATGTTCCAGTACAATCGATAAAAAGTTCTGTAATATATTAGATAAAGATATTGTCTGAGTATGTTGTAATATACTGTTCTGTCAGTATCATACATCTGACGCGTATCTAGTGGAATAGGGCGAATGGTATGGTGTTCTATTTCGGCCACTTCCCGCGTCGCCTTTTTCATTATAGATATTATAGAAATGTCTTGTTATATAAAGGATATTCATGATATTTCCTTGTGTCCAGCATAAATCAATGTATTGAAGATAAAATACCAAACGGCAAATAAACTGCAAATGAATTCTCCCGACGTCGCTTTTTTCCCTATAGCTTAACATTGAAAAAGGCGACGCACGACGTGGCTGAAATAGAACACCATAGAATGGTATTCCTGTGATGCCACTGTCTTTCCATTTGGCGTCGTACAACTTTATTATCCTGGTCATCACCGTTGCCAGGAAAGCCGATGATCAAGACGTATACTATACTCAAGAAGGGGTCTCGGTGTCTACAGATCTATCGCCTCGATTATTCTGAGTTAATAGGTTTCGAATATTTATAGCATGTTCTAGATACGAACGTTGTGGCTGACGTGTACTCACATTTAATTAAATAGACGAATGTTGGGTAACTTTACGACGTTTTTTTTTACCTTCAAATCTCACAGCAAATTGCAGCTATAAAATGGCCCAACTTCTGGCCTATAACTAAGATAACTAGAACAAACTTCGATGTGCACTTCAACAAATACAATCAAATTTTAATGTATCATGGGTGGCTCCAGCAATGGGATCGATCGTGTAAAACGCCGAATGACGTCATCAGTGCGCAGCGCAGTAACCCGAATTCTATTACGAAAATCGTGAACAGAAATTTGCATCCCATACCCAATTGATCCGCGTAATTCTACTTTCCTAGTGGAAAGTTGAACCCTTCTTTCATAATATGTAACATACGCAGCCGTTTTTTTGAAGAGGTGGAAAATACCCCCCAAACACCCCCTGTGGATCCGTCCCCGTGTGTGTGCGGTTGGAAACCTGGCCAACGCTCATGTCTTTATCAACAGAATCAGTAATAGGAGATTTTTTATAACAAAAAAGAAGCTGAAAATGTCATTTATTGAAGTCCATAAAATAAAGGTCGTCATTGTGTGTTATTATGCCAGAAATATCGACGTCATCTTGTTATAGATGTTGATTTTTTAAGTCCCAATTCCGCAATAAATTATATTGCAAACAAAAGTAGTAGAAGAGTATCGCAAACAATAAGCAGAAGAATATCGCACATCTGTTAATAGAATATGTTTAATCTGTCCATTTATAGCTTGTGTTGGTTAGTAGAAATTTCTTACTTTCATTAGACCTTAATTTTTAACAAAGTTTCACACGTTTTTTTAGAGAATGCATTATTGCTAACCTATCTGTATGAGTTCGAATACCCAGTCATTTAGTCCTTTCGCTCTTTACAACTGGCTGCTCGATGTATGGGACCTCGTTTACACGAATAGATCACGCAGTCCTAAAAGGGGCCACCGGCGCGTTGGGAATATACAAACCAAAGAGGAAAACAGCGGTTGCTAGGCAAGATACGCCCACATTTTGCAAGAGATACATGTAGATAGAGAACAAGCTAAAAAAAACCGTGATTTTTCATACAATCAGGGGCAATAATCCAAAAAGTTATGGTCTGAAATGGGCGAATATGGAAAGGGACTGAGGTTTTTGGGATATAAAGATACATATTAAGATTCATCAAAATCGGACAAAGATTGGGACGTGACCTAGGAGGTCTACAACCTTCATATTACATACTTTTACACAATTTGCGTACATGGAGCGGCCATTTAGTCGGGTAGTTTCGTTTCGATTTTCGTGAAATTCGAACTCAACCTTCATTATGGTTGCAGGAACCGAAATAGTTGGGTTATAAACATATATTTCATGTTTCATCTAAATCGGATAAAATAAACATTGTAACCTCTAGGATGTCCACAGACTAAAAACGTGATATTACGTACAATCAGGGGCCATAATCCATGGAGTTACGATCCGATACATGCCAATATCGAAAGGAACCGAGATCTTTAATTGGGAGATAAACCTATATTTCAAGTTTCCTCAAAATCGGATAACAATTGTGACCTGTAGAGTGTCCACAAACAAATTGTGGACTGACGGACGTCCGGCTTTACGGACAGGGTTGAGGACAATATACGTCCACATAAAAATGTGGGCGTATAAAAAGCCGGAAATTGCCCAATAACAGGTAGGAAGAAGCAGTCTAGCATCAATTCGGGATGACAACTCCCATTGAAGGTCAGAAAGTCGGAATCATAAGGTTTCAGTAAGATGAAGATGTGGGGTAACAGAACGTCTACGAAACTTCAAGTACCAAGCCATGGTATGCGAATGTGGACAAAACTGTATGCTGCTGTGAAATTCTTTAAAAGAGCACCGTAACCGCCGTTAAACAGATCTAGTGATCACATCCGATTTCCTTAATATTTTGATCTGAAAATTTTATACATATCGTTTGATTTGCATACAGACACCCACTTTTATCAACGGACCCCTTAAAATGTTTATCACCTGAAGTATACAATGTCTTTTTATATTTTTTACAGAAGGAAATGTTTTGGCCAAAATAAACCTTACAGAAGAATATGTTGATTTAGACGAAATATTGAAAAACAACTCGGAAGTTCTACCAGGAGGTGTATGGCGTCCTAAAAATTGTGTTGCTCGTTATCGAGTGGCGATTATTATACCGTACAGGGATAGATTAGCCCATTTAACAGTATTATTGTCACATTTACTTCCAGTATTGCAAAGACAAGAATTAGATTTTAGGATTATTGTCGTTGAACAGGTAAGACACTTATATTATAATCTTTAAGTGGCATTACGATCAATATGCTTGATAACGATTAGTGGATTTTTGTCGAAACGTCGTGTTTGTAGAATAAAACCAGTGATTATTTCCATAACAATTAATTGTGTTAAAGATACATTCCCGCGTACAAACTGGGTGATTTAATGGAAAATATGGACTAAAAACATATTCAAATTAATTAATTTGTCATAATTTTGCTTCAGATCCTTCTCAAACATTGTAATTGCGAAGGAATGCCCTACTAGAAAAAAGCGATCAAACCAGGTCATGTTTACGTCACGTGACTTACCTCTCTTGGAAGTCAGAGGAGAATTCATTGCATACATAAGACGATGTTGTCTTTAATCGCTTACTATTTATTACAAATATCGAATCCTAATTAAATTCTCGGATTATCCACTACCCGCGTCTTTTTCGGTCATTTTTATGTCAGAAAGTGTTGTACGTCTAACTCTTCATAAAGTTTATCAACTTGTACATCAAGCGGTCAATATTCGCGTGTGACCTTTGACATCACGCGTGCAGAAATTCCCAATCGTCGGGCTGTCGATTAGGGGAACCCTTACATTTTTGTCTTGTATACGCTCCATGAGTGTTTTTTTCCGGGAATCCAGTATTTTTCTAGTTAGATTGGATATCTCTACTTTCCATATAATAATATACCACCCGATAAATACTTTTCTGGGAACCCATCTTTAAGTTAAGATAATTATATGTTTTATTTTCTCTTGGTGTGTAGTTTGTCTAAAACCATAGATAAATAAAAATTCAGACAGGATTTCTGTACGTCTTTATAATATAAGCCATTTTAGATGTTGAAGTACTGGCTAGAATTTTATTAGAAATGTGTGTATCCAAGAGATACGGCACTTGCCGACACCCAGATCCTTTTTCGTTTCTTCATATAGTGTAGGCCATCGAAAGTATAAAAAAACGAAACGAAATAAAGATCTGTATTTTAATCAGATTGACCGACACCGTATACAATTTATCTTAATCTTGTACCTTCATGCTAAAAAAACCCCCTATATTTCTAGTCTTGACAGAATTCTATAAGCAAAATCAACCTTTGCCCTTACATGGACGTTCTAATATAATAAAAGGTCTGTGGTTCTTATCAGGTAATTCATTCACATGAGAAACGTTTGTTTGGGGCGGCTGTATGCGAGTTTTAAACGCTACAGTGTTCGGATGAGAGAGAGGGGCGAGAGAGAGAGAAGAGAGAGAGAGAGAGAGAGAGTTTAACGTCTACTCGACACAAACTAGGTCATTTCGGGACTAACATGTGGTTTAATTTTATTTCAACAATTCGCTTGCGCATATGGGTCTTTAGCAGTGGGAGGAAACCGGAGGACCCGGAGAAAACCAACGTGGTTGGGGTTATATAAAGTGAAACCAAATCAGTGACCGACCAAATGTTCCGAAACGTTTAACCGCAGAATTATTATTGAAATATAAACCTTTGTCAACAAATCAGGGGATCACGTGGCTAAGTGGGTAAGGCGCTGGCTCGCTAGCCTGGAGGTCGGGTGTTCGATCCCTGCATTGGCCGAGAAAGTTCATCTCGATTTTCCGGCGTGGTTTCCCCTTGTCAGTGATGCAGAACAGAGGGCCTGACAAGGACAGCTGCCTAGTCGTTCGGATGGGACGAAAAACCGAGGACCCGTGTACACTTTGGCGTGCACGTAAAAGATCCCTTGGAAGTTGGAATTCGATATTTCCCTCATAGCACACTGTATGGCGTATGCCCGTCTTCAATTAGCCCAGGTTAGGTGCAGAAGAGTAAGACGTTAAACCCCATTTCATTTCATTTTTCAACAAATCAATATACTCGTCCTGTATTCAGATTATATTATATTAGGTACATTTCAGTATTTTTTTTGTTTCAATGGCACCCCCATGATAATAAAAAAAACACACTTCAAAAATTTTCCAGTTTATTAATTTTAGCACGAGTCTCGGGGCGTTACAGGAAAAAAGAAGTATTTTATATATGTCATATTTGATAACGAAATAAAATCAATAAATATTGTTCTTGGATCAAAAGTAATTCATGTGAATAGAAATTATATAATGAGGATTGTTACATATCAGTCAACATTATGTTCGTCCGAACTAAGTTTACATTTTGGGAAAGGGGTCCAACATAGAGAGCAAAAATGGGGTACCGAACGATAATAAGTAAAGATATCATAAACTGTTTAGGCTACAAGATTAGAAACAAGATATCGCAAAAAATAAATATATCAAAATGGTTATGAATCAGCCTTTAACCATACGATATTGTTCTTTAACCATACGGTATTGTTCTTTAACCACACGGTATTGTTCTTTAACCATACGATATTTTAAAATACTCCTTGAACCACACGGTGTTAAAATATGTTCTTTAACCATACGGTACTAATTGTTAAATACACATATTAATTTAGAAACTGACAAGTTAAGCTAGACCAGTTAAGTGGCTTATTGTATGCAAACGCCACTTTGGTTGCCAGCCAATTTAACAAATTTGGCGGTTTAAAATTTCAATATGGCTATTTTGATTAACATTTAATTTAGTTCGTGGTTAAGGTTTCATTGCTTTTGAATTTAATATGATTGAAGTGCATTTAATTTATTTACTTTTCTTCCAATCAATTTCAAATTTAACTCGTCAAACCCCCTCCAAAACGACGGCAGTTTCATCACCTGGGGCCTGTTTCACGAAATTTTAACTAAGATAAAATCCAAATTTTAGTAATTTAATTGGATAATATTAGGTTGATTTTAGTGCTTAGCTAATCAAAATTGAAGTATCCACTAAAATTTGGATTTTATCTTTAGTTAAGATTTCGAGAAACAGGGCCCAGAGTTGTTATTTATATATAGTGTGTTGACATTTGAAAACGCTGTCACTTGGACTATGATGTGAGGTTATGGCTAAATGGACGTAAATGTGGCGAACGGTCTGTCAAGTTTGATATTGAACAAGCTGTAATATGTCTTTACTACGGAGATAATAGTCGTCATCATACTACTTTATACATTATACGCTATCATTGGCAATTATTGTCTACCAACTCAGTCAGTGGCTCCCAAGCAAGAATCGCGCGAAAATTAGAAGTGTTGCCCTTAAGGAAAATGAATGCATGAAAAAAGGGATTACTCTACAAATTGATCAAAGCCAAAACAATTTGCACTCATCAAATCGTCAATATGGCCTTCGGTAGAGCCACTATTGTGAAACTAAGAGGAGATTTTACGTAATCACCGTCTTTAGTCTCATATTGTTTCAAATAGTTGGGAGATTAGTAGTTCTAGTCAGGATTGACATTTACAGAAATCGCCAATTTGGTAATTCCAGTATTAAAATTCAAACTTATATATATTATTGGAAAAAAAAATAGATGGTATCCAGATTTCAGTGCTAGTTTGTCAACTGAAATGAAATGGGGCTAATGAAGAAAGGGCATACGGCCTGAATCTAAATTTCATTTTACAGAACCGTCCAGTGCTTATTGGTCAACAGAAAAGAAATGAAATGGAGTTTCACGTCCTACTTTTCTGCACCAACCGGGATAATGAAAACGGGCTATGAGGGACAGTTTGCCCAGTCAGTGGCGCTACGGTGGACTATTATTTCGAATTGCAACTGTTAGTGGTTCTTTTACACCTACGTACAATCCGAACAACTAGTCACAGGACCCCGTGCAGCTTAGGCATGGGCCCAGAGGCCTAGGGCCCCGCAGTTTAGGGGACCCCGCGGTTCATGGCAAAAAGAGAGAAAAAAATAATCAAATTCCAGAAAATTTCACGGTAATCGATCTAGCGGCGCGAGGGCGGAGACTGAGCTATCCCTCAACCTTCTCTGTGAAGTTATATGCCATTTCCGCGTATTGTATGCCATTCGGAACTGAATAGATTTCGTATGTGATCAGATATTATGTAATTATTCTTGTATTACAGACCGTTACGCATGCGTGCCATTCAAAAAGGATATGAAATAATCTTTCGTCGCGTTAGGGGCCCCGCTATTCTAGTCAGGCCTAGGGCCCCGCTCCGGTTAAACTGGGCTTTGCCCGTGCTGCACCATTGACAAATGTCGAGAGAGCTCTTGGTTAGTGAGTGTCTTACTGAGCCACCGCGGTCTCCACTCGTCAACTATTTGGCTCACGACCTTCTGTTAACACCCGCAACGGTCGACTGCGTGGAAAAGATCTGTGGCTTACCATGATCTGTAGAGAGTCCTGCTTTTATCAAAGTTAAACATTTTTCTTGTAATGCGAGGTGGATACAATGCTATATATACAAGCAAAATTATTGCATCAAAAAGAACGTGGCAACTAAAGTACTTGTAGCATGGGGGCCAAACCCTAACCCAGATGGATAAATTTGTCCGTGTGGAAATAACGTCCTGAACCGGCCTGGGCCCTGCTTCTCGAAATTTTAACTAAGATAAAATCTAATTTTCGTAGATACTTCAATTTTGATTGGCTAAGCACTAAAATCAATCTAATATTATCCAATCAAATTACTAAAATTTGGATTTTATCTTAGTTAAAATTTCGTGAAACAGGCCCCAGATCTCGCAAACCGACATGAAAAAAAAAACAACACCTACATAATGATCGAAAATGAACAAAGATATATTTTCTTGGGTTTCAATTAGCAGCATTTAATGACCTGCGTACTAAAATCGTTGTACTGTTTCTATTTAAGTCAATCTCAGAAGACCATAATGAGAAAATCGTGTAACCAACAATTATTATAATTGTAGCCTGTAATAGAACAGATAAGATGGAGGTTTGTCAGGCAACCCTTTCGTATAGATCGATTAAGGATTTCGATACAAACCATCAATAAATAAACAATGAATTATTAAGAGAACACTCAGTAGCCCTATATTCGGCTTCTCAGATCCAAATGTCGGATTATGCCCCCCCCCCCCCCCGGGGTAAAATTCACATTTTCAAACGTAAAACTCCAGATTGTGG